ACCGGAAGTTTTTGTGACGAAATGCATGGTAGGTACGGATCCACGTGTCGAACGCACGAACGTGAACAGGATTCACTTCAAACCTTCCCATGAACGTGGATCCGTACCTACCATGCATTTCGTCGCAAAACCACTTCCGGTCCCGCCCACTGGTCCATGGTCCGTGGAAGATTCCTTTAAGCACTATTTGTTCATGCTGTGCGAAAATTCGTAGATCGCGGGCAAAATTCTTTGCCAGTCGCGCGCGAAAATTCGTAGCTAGTCACGCGCGAGAATTCGCGGCTAGTCGCGCGAAAATTGGTGGATAATCGCGTGCGAAAATTCGTAGCTAGCCGCGCGCGCAAAAATGCGAATGCACGTGTCACGAATTCGTCGCGCAACCCGTCGCGCAACCCGTCGCGTGGTGACCTGAAACGTTTCGCGGCAGGTCGCGCGGTGACTTTGCGTTTGCACGCGTGGACGAACGCTGACATCAGCACTATCCCTACGCGCGAAAGTTCACAGAACATTTTCTATTAGTGCTTGAACATCTACTAGAAAACAACCACATATCGTAGCCCCAGCAAAGCTAACCCACTCCACGGTAACTCTTGAGGCACCTGTACATTGTTTCTAATTTCACACATGATTCTGGGCACGGAATTATGCATTAGCAGCCTTGAGATGGAAGAGATCCGCGTGTCATCGCTTGCATACGAACGGCTTGGTGACCAAGCAGAACGCGTCCGTCCATTGACCCGTTGACAGCATCTCCACGCAGTTCTCGTTGTGGCCGGCGTTGTCCGGCTGTCCTGCACGTACATAGTTCAATAATATTCAATATGTTTCCCTTCAAGGAACACTGTTTGTTTATACTTTTCGTTAGACGCGCGGGTGATTCAAAACTTATCAAACGCAAAATGAAAAACATCATCGCAGAACAACTGTCGAAAAACTACGGGTGATTCATCACAAACGAGTGCCTGGCTCGATTCAGCCCTTTCCCCTGATGTCTGGAGAAGGGGACGGACCGAAAGAAGGAACAAAGATAAGCGAAAAATTCTCTGCGTCGGTACCGCACGTGACACATTACAGGTACTGTAGCATGCAAATAAACGCCGAGCTTAGTAATTGTATTTGCGTTACCTCGACAACATGAGAACTTTCCCGGCAGAGCCATCTTCAAAAGTCACCCATGGCACTCTCCTGCCTTGCGAATTGGTCTCACCCAATGGTCTACGTAGGAAAACTAGCATCTGGAAAGGTGTGAGAGCCGGCGAATGTGATTGGTCGGTGGTTGGTCACAGCCAATCATGGAAGGCGAACAAAGCGGCATGAGGTAGGCGAATTTGTATTTGCTACCAGGGTTGTGATGAAAAAAGCCTTAACGGGAAACCTATGAAAAGAAAGTCTTTACGGGAAACCTGGAGCAGGAGCCACCCACTGCCATCAGTCACATATTTTGAGCATTAGAAGGATGAGCAGCCCGCGAGATAACTCAACACGACACCGTACGGATGTAACCCTAACCCGTAACCCCAACCGGGGAAGTTGATGGGTGCAGTCAAAATGATGTTTCCTTCAGCACCTACCTTTCTTCTTTATTTTTTTGTTTTCCTGCATCTCTTATAAAATGTGAAGATCTCTTAAATTTGTAATCCAACTGACCTTTCTTGAAATTCTTGAAAACGACTGGACTACGATCGGTATTCACAAATAAGTTCTCCCGTTGTACGTCATTCACGCCAATCCAAGCACTTTCAGCTCGTATAAGACCTGAAGGAAAGCGGCTAAAAACACCTGTAAGTTCACTTTCCTAATTACTGTACTGGTTATTCAAATAATTAACTAATTAATTAATCTATTAACTAATTAATTAATCTATTGGAGAACCTGAAAGGAGTAAAACGGGACGGAGATAAAACCATTTGTAATGAGCGATCAATACAGTTTTTAGTAAAATAAGCAGAAAATTTCACAATTAGTGATTCAAATAAGTATTCATTAAATAACTACGTCATATAGCATAGTTAGTTAGGTAAAAATTTAACTGGAACACCTCGTGGAATTTGCCCTGTGGAATTTTACGATCAAAAGATGACGATTTCTTCGCTCGAAAATGGTAGATGCGAAAGGAATCGCTGTTGGGAAAGCCTGCTTTTAGGCGAAAAACGATAGAGAAGTGCTTGCTGGGTGCCGTAGAGAAAGACGAGAGAACGTAGGGACGAGTGAGGCGCAGATACTTTGCTGTGAAGACTTGCGGTGCGACAGCTACAGTCAGTTTCAGCTCAGCGCTAATGAAAAGAATCATCATCCATGCCGTGCATGTTTTAGCCGCAAGAATGGCATCTCGCTGGCTTTTTTAGAAGCCCTACAATAGTTGCGGGAAGGAAGAGGGGCTTTAATCATATAGCTCGAGTACGCATAAGCATTCGTGTTGTTTTGGTAGAAAAACCGAACCTCTAACAAACACGTTTTCTCCCATATCTGAGATCGACGTCAGATGACCTCCCCAAGCAAGGCAGTCCTCCTCAGCTTCGTACCATGAGTTTCGTGTCTGTGAAAGAATCTGATTAAAAAAAGCAGATCCATAATTCAACTCAACTGGTTTGTTAAGTGAAGAGACAGACTGTGGAAGGAATGGATGAAATGGAGTATGTCATAAGGTCCGGTGTTCGCCAACACAGAACGCGCTCAATTTCCCGAAACGAGCCGTACAGGTGTCATAGATGGTACTTTCAAAATAGGGCTAAACCACGAAGATAAGGCACCTGTTGAAAAAGGTGCCGAAGAAACCAATTATAATACTATCCAATTTCCGCTATCGTACCCGGACATAATGACCGCGGAGATGAGATACAAACGACAGGTTGCTGAGCCTAATTTTTTCATAAATTGCACAAAAATTCAGATCAAATTCGATCTAGGCGTTTCAAACAGTAAAAGCTGTACAATACCTCCATGTAGGCGTATTCGAATTGACCACGTCGGTAGATTCTCGTAGAAAACAGATCAAGACGCTTCTAAAATTGAATTAAAAGTTTATCGTAATCAATATTCCGTTTTAGCGTTAATGTAAGAAATCCGCCACATTTCGTGACATGTGTATGTCACGGCGGTGTATTCCACCTGTTCTTATGAGGTCCACAAGTCTATTGAAACAAGCCGATCTGAAGCGATGAAAGAATAGTGCAAGGTAGCGCAGACGACAGTATCAACATTAAAAAGGCGGAGCATCACAAAAAAGCCGGGAAGTTGAGAGGGAGGCTTTCAAGTAGTGGTTCAATGGATTTATCAAAGAAAAAACAGCTAGACGGATTGGTGTAGTGAGCGTCGCCAAAAGACAGGAAAGACATGGGCGACGAAGCGTGACAGCACGATTGGGTAAATGTGGGCCAGAGGGAGGAGGAAGATTAAAAGGGCAATGAGGTTTAGCAGTCAGATGTGTATGTCATGGCTCATGTATGTCACGACAATGTATGTCACATGTTCCCATCCTTTAAGAATGTGGCAATATAGAAATGAGTGTATGGGGGTGAGTAGTAAAAGAAGTCACTTCTGGACAGCTCACAATCACGTTTCCTAACCATTGGTCATATGAGTTAAGGGGGGGCACCATCCAAGACACCGAGAAGATTTATAGAAAAGCGCTTCCTTCAGGCCGCTTCGTGAGCTTGGAGAAGAGCAGCGAGAAAACTGAAAGAAAAAACAAGAAAATAATGAAGAAATGTGCTTCGGACAGTTTTCATGAAGCAAAGTTAAAGGGGCGGAGCAATGACTCCAAGGGTCTAGAAGATATTGGAAATCAGAAGCATTGGATACTTTACAAAAACAAATTGCAAGGGGAATTGATGTAAAACTGATGAAGGCCAAGGCGGTGTAGAACATGTCGAAACTTTCTCCGATGGGAAATCAAAAGTCAAACCGTCAGTATTCTGAAGTCCTTCTCATGTTTGTTTTGTAAGAATGATGAGCGCCGATCCGCTCTAATCTCAGCGGCCCTCAGATCTTTCTCGAAGCGACTCTGAAAACTGATGATGAGAAAAGAACCTCAAGTCCTAATTTCAATCGATAGCTAGATGTGTTACTATATTTCCCTTCAAAAAAGCGTTTAGGGTAAATATCATACTATTCCAACCTTCCGGTACTTTTTCGCAAAGAATGAACTCTTCCGGAAATGAGGCAGTATTTTTGGGTCAGGGACTACATCATTAGTCCATGGAGAGCTGCAGCTCTTATACCTCTTGAATAACGCCCAAGAAATGGTTTTAAAGATACACATGATGAAGCCCACTATTCTCATTGGTCGACCCTTCCACTCTCCCACATTGAAAAGAGGAGACAACCAATCAGAAGGGCGCACTGCTCTCACAGACTCCGCCCATAGTTAAGGCTTCGAGGCAATGATCACAATAGGCCGAATGGCTGTGCGGATTATGTCGTTGACCGTCGTTGGTGGACTAGACCCCTGAGCGCATTAGGGGTTTGATTGAAACCATCTCCTACTGCCCTTCTACCGGTGACGTTCAATGACGTCATCAAAACCGCTCTGCCTCCCAGTCACCGTGATCATTGTCTTTGAAATGGTTTTTTTTTCAGTCTACTAGGAACCTTTTCTGGAGATAAATATTGATACGGTACCTGCAGGCTTGCGAGCTTCCGTTTATACTCGTCTTCCAATCGTTCTCGAATTCCATTGAGTTTCTCGTCAAGCTGTTTCGTGATATTCGCCAAGATCTTTGCCAACCCTGGTTGATCTGAAATACCCCGTCGATTACCCTGATCCAAATTCATTCGATTTTCCATGAAATATAAGCGACTCAGGAGGCATACCTGTTCGGGGTAGTGTCAAGTTGCTGGACGAGATTTTAGACAGACTTGGACGACGTGTTGGGAGTTCTATGAAATTGTCCGAGTATCCAGGATAAGGATTCACAGTTCGAATACCTGAATTTAATG